GATACGCTGAGACCAAAATGCAATCGACAAAACGCAAATAAACCCTTAGATGTGGTAATTGTAAATAATTTACGTATATCTTCCCTAAGAGGTAATTGTAAATATGCTGTGGAAAAATTAATTTTAGAGAAATATTTACTTCCCTTTAAATTTGCTAAAATTTCTTCAATTCGAGAACCTCCACTACCCACGGATTGAGAGTGACCCGAAGGTCGGCGCAAAGCCTTAACTTTCCATTTGATTTTCTGATCGGAACCAAAGGCGTGGCCCACTCACTATAATCAATGGGAACAATTATACCATCCTTTAACCATCGGTCTAATTCGATTTCAACTTCCTTTCCCCATTCAAAAGGTACTCGACGGCACCCTAAAAAAATAGGCGTAACACCTTCCTTGAATTTAACGTCTACTTGGTAGTCCTTAAGACATCCTAAAGTGTCTTCAAATATTATTTCATATTTTTTAATTAATAAATCTATGGCTTCATGAACCTTATTTAATTCATAATCTTCTTGCTCAATTATTGATATTTGATCAACTGTTGTCTTAATATTATCTTGTATATTACTCTTATATCATTATCATGTAATATATTTTCATTATCTTGTATATCAATTTCAGGACTATTCCGCCCTGAAACATTATTCTTTGATTTTATCTCAACCTGAGACCTATAAAAGTCTTGATTATTGAAAAATTTCGAATCTTTATTACTTAATTTGGACCCCTCTAATTCTCTTACCTTATTCCCTATATTATTTGTATTGAATTCATTTTTTACTTCATTATTCTTTATAGTACAAATGTTATCCCTTTCCGTAAAAATATTCCAATAATTGTATTGTGATCCTATCTTATTGATCCAGTCCCAACCCATTATGGTGTCAACCTCCTTCTCAACCACCCATAAATTAAGACATATTTTTCTATTACCCACTATTACTCTAACCCTGGATTTACCCAAAACCTTGATCTCAGTTCCATCAAATTGTTTGACGTATATATTATCCTTTTCGAGAATTCTTTGAGGCCAAATTTCCCGATATGTTTTATAAGACATAATGGAAATCACAGCTCCCGTATCGAACAACATCTCAATGTCCTTATTATATATTTTAATGTTAACTCGAGGACATGAAAATTGTTCCTTATTGCCCCTCATTATTAACATACTATTATTATTGTTAGGTCTTTTATATTTTTCCCATTTAAAAAAATTTTCTTTTCTATTTATATCTTTAATCAAATTTTTATTTAATTTAATTCTGTTTGAATTTACCCTCTTGATACCTCCGTTATACTTGTACGTATTGTGTTTGTAATTTACCCTCGTGTATATCGCTTGATCCTTCCCATATTCCCTAACTGCTTTACATTTATCATAAACATAATACCCTCTACTATTATAAATATTCAATTTATTATAAAACATATTATAAAATTTATTATTAAAACTATGATATAATTTCTTATTATTAATATGATTATTTGGTCTTTCGACCTCTTTATACTTCTTAGATTCATATAGTCAATTAAGGCAATTAATGCCTAAATGTCCATCTTCCTTGCACTTAAAACAACGACGTTCCATAAACTCATTAATCTTGTTTAAATTCTCATTTAATGTATTGTCTATTTCCCTTATATTACAAATTGCAGATTTAAAATTTTAGAATTTCTAATTGGAAAACCCTCACAAAAATTTTTTTCATTAATATTACATTTATCCTCGGTATGTCCCTTATAACCACACTTATTACCCCTCCAATATTTTATTCTTATTATAAAAACAATCTTGTTCTTTATGACCCCTACGATCACATATTCTGCAATTATTTATTAACTTATTTAAATCACGCGACATATCCTTTATTAAGTCCCTTTGTGTCTTTAATTCTTTTACAATTATATTTAAAGTATTTGTAAAATTAATATCCTGTATGCTATCTCCTGTATCGAGTGTCCTATTATTTACCTCCCTTATACTTTTCTCCTGCATAATTGTCTTATTATCACGTAATTCCCTTAAAATTAATTGTAAAATACTCGTTGTGTTACCTCGATCTATAATCTCCCCTGACCTTATCTTCTTCTCTAAAGATTTATTTATATGGATTACATTTTCCATTGTCCGAAAATGTTTGTCCTATATGTAATTTATCATCTTGCAATTCCTTAAGAATTGAATGTAAAATACTTTGACCCGATATTTCTACTTCCTTAAATGTTAAATTATTTTCTGCTATTACTGGATTAATTATTTTATTATTTTCCTCAACTATATTATTTCTATTTTTATTTTGTATCTCTTGTAATACTAAATGTAAAAGATTATTTTCATTATCTTGTGTCTTAATACTTAAAGAATTATATATTTTATCTGATTTTTCTTTCTCTGTTTTTACTTCTGAAAAATGCCCTTTAATTCCCTTCTTATTAATCTCCTTATTATTAATATAATAAAATATATTATTATCAAAATTATCAAAACAATAAATATAAAATTATTAATTAAATCATACCTATTAATAAATTTATTAAATATTTCAAAAAAGTATACTCTTAACATCCGACATGCTATTAATATAAGAATGCTTATAATTATTATTATAAAAAAATAACATATTTTCATTTATATAATTTAAATTTTAAACCTTATTTACTTTAAAATAAACTTATAATTTCTGTCCTAAATTCTAAACGTCTTTCACCTTAACTACCTTATTTAATATATTACCTTTAAAATCTAAAAATTTATTTTAATTGAATAAGATTTTATGCTATTTAAACAAAATAAATTCTAAACCTTATTTCCTTTTAAAATAAACTTAATCCTTTTTTTAAAATATTTAACGTTTTTTACTTTAACCCCTTTATTTAATTTATTACTTTTAAAATCTAAAATTAATTCTAATTGAATAAGATCTTATGTTCCCCCTAAAAAAAATATGCTTGTGTCCACATAAACCCCTATGTAAAAATTAACTACACGGCACCATTAAAATGAATGTATATTAAAATGAACTTAAATTAAAATGAAAATAAATTAAAATGAATGTAAATTAAAATGAAAGTAAATTATAATGAAAGTAAATTAATATGGAAGTATCTTTACCTTTATTAATTAAATATTTTCTTGGTCTATTCTATAATTTAAGAATCTCTATTAATTATATAATTTCTTGGTCTCTTTATTAATTAAATATTTTCTTCGTATCTTCAATAATTTACAAATCATAAAATTTTCTTCTTTTTTAAACAAAAACAAATTAATTAAAATCCCTCTTCTTTGTTGCCACTGTATTTTTCTTTTTCTACAAAAATAAACAAAATACATGGCTAACAACAGGTTTGTAATATATATGTCGTAATTTTTAAAGGGATCATGACTATCCGGGATCTTCACGGGATTTAAAGGGATCCCTTTAAAATTTCAATTTTTCAAAGGATAAGAGAACTATACGGTATTATCACGTTTTAATCGTGATAAAGAGGAATCTTATTTTAAAAGAGTTTTCCACGAGTTTCGTTGCGTTTTTTAATTTTCTATGTTGTTTTTTTGGCCTTATGATATAAGATATGTCTAGGGTATCAATCGATAACTAATCAAAAGATCTATTCAACTGGAGGTCAATATCTGCCCCATCATGGGCGGTCTAGGGGGGGGGGGGGGGGTATAAAAATTATATTTATATGATATGGGTATCAATCGATAGCTAATCAAAAGATCTATTCAACTAAAGGTCAATTTCTACCCCAAAATAAGCGGTCTGGGCGGGATGTAAATTTTTTTTTTGATATGGGTATCAATCGATAGCCAATCAAAAGATCTATACAACTGGAGGTCAATGTCTGCCCCATAATAGACGGTTTAGGGAGTGAAGGTGGGGGGGGGGAAGGTGGGGGGGGGAAGGGGGGGGAGGGGGGGGGGGTGTAAAAAAAATATTTTTTTGATATGGGTATCAAATAAAAGCTAATTTTAATATGGGTTGACTGAAAGTCTTCATTCTTGGTCTTGATAGGTATGACTTGTTGTGGAGTGTGGGGGTAAGGGTGGGGTGTGCGGGTAGGGGTGGGGTGTAAAAAAAATATTTTTTGATATGGGTATCAAATAAAAGCTAATTTTAATATGGTTTGATTGAACGTCTTTATTCTTGGTCTTGATGGGTATGACTTGGTCTCAGGGGTGGGGGTAGGGGGGCTGTAAAAAATAATTTTTTTTGATATAGGTATCAAATAGCTAATTTTAATATGGTTTGATTGAAAGTCTTTATTCTTGTTCTTGATGAGTATGATTGGTCTTGATGGGTATGACTTGGTCTGGGGGAGGGGGTCAACATGTTAACAAAATGTCTAGTTGGATAGAATTTACAGAAATAAAAGAGAATGAAGATAAGACAATTTTTTAAATCTTTTTTCGGTTCCAATCCTGAACTTGAAATATATAATATGCAGTGTTCTATATTAGCACGATATTCCATAGCTATTTTTTTTAGTATTGATATCTTTAGCATGCAACATTTTTTTTAAAAGAGAGATAACGGTAGCTCGTTACTAAATAAATAGCAAAAATTATTATAATTTTATAATTAATTCTAAAATCATAATCTTTTAATTTTATTTTATTTTAAAATTTACATTTAAAAATATGCAAAATATATTTTTCAAAAAAATAAAATTTTTTAAATGTCGACAGCAGGGATGCGAACCCGACAAAATTTTTGCCCGGGTTCGGTTCGGGTTCGGTTCGGGGTATAAAAAAAAAGGTGGGTTCGGTTCGGGTTCGGTTTAGGGAAATATTTTTGAACCCGGGTTTGGTTCGGGTTCGGTTCGGGTTCAAGAATTTTTGAGTTGATAAAAAAAATTCTATATTTAAATCATAATAAAAAACTAGACATAAATTTGATATAAAAAATAAATTTTTTATTTTATTTATAGGAAAATATAGTTAAAAATACAAAGCATATAGTCATGTATCAATTTTAAAAATTTTATTTAGACGTATTAGCATAATATCTTCCAAGAGTTGTTCACTCATCCTCGATCTATGTGGTGAAAGAATGAATTTCAAATGTGAAAAAGATCTTTCAACGCTAACCTATGTTAAATGTATTTATATGTGAAAATATGAAAAATTAACTTGGGTTGCAGGAACAGCAAATAAGATTTTAGATAAAATATATAATTCAGGGTGTTCCAGCTTAGCAGACTCCCAAAAATGCAAAATATTTTCCTTCTTATCTAATCTTTTATAATCGCTAAATCCAGTAATTATTGTTCCAATACTTTTCTCAGCAATCGTTGGCCCTCTTTTAAGTATTTTCTCCTGCCTTTCTTTAAGTTGTATCAATTTCTCTAAATCATCTTCTTGTTCAATAACTTCATCGGAACTAATATCATCAGATAAAATCGGCGTTGTTAAGCTTTTAATTCGTCTCCATAAATTGACAAGATGTTTTTTCGCACAAATCTTATCATCATCACTAAGTAATACCTGTAATATTTAAGGATTTATATTGTTTATATTTAAATATTTCATAAAATAACAATTTTAATATAAATCTAAAATAATTAATTTACTAAGCTTTTAATTAACCTTGTATCTTGGGTCCAGGTATATGGCAGCTAAGAGAATTTCGTTCTTTATAAACCTTTCTTCTCTGTTCTTAAGACAAGAATATAGTAATTGAGCAAAATGGTTTGGATTTTTTTCCAGTTCGATGCAGCATCTTAACCATGCTGCATAAAAATCTGTCAGTGTTAACTGTTCAGATTGGAATTGTTTGGTTGCGATTTTTAGCGGTTTTAAAATTTCAAATCAGATTGCTCTGTAAAAAAATCTTCGATATTGGGTTTTAGTAAAATCAGCCTTTCTAACATATCATGGGTTGAATGCCATCTGTGGCAATCTAACACAGGCTTAGGGAGTTTCATATTTTTTAATAACTTTTGGTAAGTGGGATGTCTTAATTTTCAATTTAGGCTCCTAGCTTTTGCAATGGTTTCCACAATAGGTGATAATTTTATAGCATCTTGAAGTGCCAGCTAAAGTGTGTGAGCTGCACACCGTACACTATAAATCGGATAGGATAAATAGTTGATAAAAAAGTATTTTGTATATCATCAATATCATATTTATATACATTTACATCCATATTTTCCTCATCTGCTGATTCACTTATATCATAATCAGTTTCAGGTTGCAGGAGCTTTATAGCTCTTAAAAAATTACAACCATTATCAGAAGTAATTGTGTATATTTGTTGAATATTATTTTTAAATTTTAGTAAAGTTTTTAATATATTCTCTTTTATATATTCTCCTGTACATCTCTCTTTCAGCTCTACAATTCCAAGAGTCCTCAAATTTATAATGGACTTTGATATTAATTGAATATTTACACTAAGAATTGACCTATCTAGTCGTTGAACTGCATCAACTTTTAAACTTATTAATTTTCCTTCTACCTCTCTCGATATTTTGTCTCTAATTGATTGGGCTGTTTTATTAATAGTTCTGGATAAATTTTCTTTGTTTATGACTAAATTGAGCCCAGATAGGAGTGGATTTATAATTCTTTGAAATCCCGAATCTTCAATAATTGATAAAGGCCGGCCATTTACAGTAACAAGTTCTAGTATAGAACTCATCAAATCATTAGATGATATATTTATACTTATATGCTTTTTTGGAAAAAAGGTTTCTATATTAATTTTAGGTTTTTTTGCCAATAACAATTCCTGATATTTGGTTTTTTCATTTAAATAATTTAAATATTCATTGTTGTGATTTCTTTCCAGGTGTCTTTCTAAATTTGACAAGTGATTACCAGACATTTTTACTTTGCAATATGAACATATTGATTTTTTTTCTATTGTATTAAGGGTAAAATGCTTATCAAATATGACTTTATCTTTAATCTTAAATCTATAAAAAGAGAACAATTTTTTTAAATAGCAATGATTTCAGAATTAAAAAATTGATAGAGATATTTATAAATTTAATTTCATTTATAATATGCACTTCATTAATATCTTGTAAAAATTAAACTGAACCAAAAATAAATGATTAGCATATATAAATTTTAAAATCATTTTAATAAGTTCACAAAAACTGCCCTACATTTAACAATTTTTAAGTTAGATGTTTAGAATTTTTTAAATTAACAATATAATAATTTTTACTTTGATTTGTTAACCATTTTCTTCTAATTAATAATCTTTAAGAATAATAAGATAAAAATTTAAAAATAAATGGCGTAAATTAATTCAATTGTTTAAAATTTTTTAACACTCCAATAGGAATCGAGAATAAATTTAAAAATGGCATAAATGAATTAAGTTGTTTAAAATTTATTAAGACTTCATTTAATTGGAAATTTGAAAATATAATATTTGTATTTACATATATTAATATATGATTTTAAATAATACACTGAACCCGATTGAACCCGGGTTCAAATAAAATTCTTGGGTTCGGTTCGGGGTTTTGAAAATTTTATAAATGGGATTCAGGTTCGGTTCGGGTTCAGAGTTTTTTTCTAAAAACCCGGGTTCACTTCTCCGGGTTCGGGTTCGGTTCGAATCCCTGGTCGACAGTATAGAATGATAATGAAAATAATTTTGGTACAGATCATATCGACAAAGGAATATCCTTTGAAAATGATGAAGAAATGGAATTTCCTTTTCCTTAATTCACAAATTATTTTAATCTCGATAAAAAAAATTAACACAATATATAAATTTTGCTGTAAGATGTGGCCGAGGTTTTATCATGAAATAAAACTAGTTGCTTCAACTTGAGAAAACATTTAAAGGTAATATATCAACCAAAAATTAATATCAATGTATAGCTCAATTCTTTATAAAAAATTAGAGCATCTATAATAGTTTTTGAGTTAGATGAGTTTAGGTGAAAGTTGATTTTCTGGCCTAGTCTAAACATACTATATTTCAACTGGCCATAAGATAGTAAATTTTTATGGGTATCTAATAAATAGTAATTAAAAAATCTTTTGATTATATTAATTTTATCAGGCTAAGCGGGCATCCTAAGATATAATGAATATTATTATTCACGCAGAACATAAACATGGGTATTAAATAAAAGTTAAATACATTTAGACTTCATTATTAAATACAATTATAAGCTGGGGTTAAATATAGTCATTGCTATTTATAAACTCATTGTAGCCTAATGATAAAATTATTTGCTAGCAACTTAATCTAATTTGTAATATTTTTAAATCTCAAAATTTCGGCTATATTTGAAACTATCAATTTACAAATTTTAAAATGACAATATAAATTTTTCATATTGCAGTTATAAATTATTGCACTTCTTTATAAGCAAATCATCTATATTATAATATTTTTTTTCTATAATCAACAACATATTTTATTGATTTCGATAATTAATTTAAAATATATCCCTCCAGACCAAGTCATACCCATTAAGACCAAGAATGAAGACTTTCATTCAACCCATATTAAAATTAGCATTTATTTGATACCCGTATCAAAAAAAAAAATTTATACCCCCCACCCCCACTCCTGAGACCAAGTCATACCCATCAAGACCAAGAATAAAGACTTTCAATCAAACCATATTAAAATTAGCTTTTATTTGATACCAGTATCAAAAAAATTATTTTTTACACCCCCCTCTACCCCCACCCCTGAGACCAAGTCATACCCATCAAGACCAAGAATGAAGACTTTCAGTCAAACCATATTAAAATTAGCTTTTATTTCATACCCATATCAAAAAAAATTATTTTTTACATCCATCACTCCCACCCCCTCCCCTATTCAAACCGCCCATTATGGGGCAGAGATTGACCTCCAGTTGAATAGATCTTTTGATTAGCTATCGATTGATACCCATATCAAAAAAAATTATTTTTAATACCCCCCACCACCCCCAGACCAAGTCATACCCATCAAGACCAAGAAGACTTTCAGTCAAACCATATTAAAATTAGCTTTTATTTAATACCCATATCAAAAAAATTATTTTTTACACCCCCCACCCCCTAGACCGCTCATTATGGGGCACAGATTGACCTCCAGTTGAATAGATCTTTTGATTTGCTATCGATTGATACCCATATCAAAAAAAAATATTTTTTACACCCCCCCCCCCATCCCTACCCCCTTAGACCGACCATTATGGGGCAGAGATTGATCTCCAGTTGAATAGATCTTTTGATTAGCTATCTATTGATACCCATATCAAAAAAAATTATTTTTTACACCCCCCCCCCAACACCCCTACTCCCCCTAGACCGCCCATTATGGAGCAGAGATTGACCTACAGTTGAATAGATATTTTGATTAGCTATCGATTGATACCCTATACTAGACATATCTTATATCATAAGGCCAAAAAAAACAAAATTAAAAATTAAAAAACGCAACGAAACTCGTGGAAAACGTTTTTAAAATAACGTGATGATAATCTTGTATTATCATTCCTTAATTTAAATTTTTAGTTATCCCTTTAAATCCCGTGAAGATCCCGGATAGTCATGATCCCTTTAAAAATTACGACATATATATTATAATACAATTAATTTTTCTCATTCTAATACAACTATAAATAATAATTTAAAATATTACAACAATTTGATATTTAGGTACAAACGATAGTGTGTTCTAGGGGTAGTATTTACTTCTCAAATAATTTAAATACTAATAAACTTTTAAAATTAGCCCCCCCCCCATCCCATTTATTAAAATGATAAAAAAATATATTTTTAGAAGGATTTTTAATTTTAAAAAAATTAACCACACATGTGTTAATAAATCAATTTTAAATTTTATAATAAAAATAATCTTCTCTTCTCTAAATATTCTATATATAATTCAATTTCAATTGGTAAGTAAATTTTTTAATTTTATTAAAAATGATACATGGCTTTAACTAAAAAACTTAAATTTAAAATCATAAGAGACCCTGCAGAAGTATTATTTGCACGTGGCCGGATATTTTTCCATTTTTTACAGCCCGGCCGGGCCCGGTTTAAAATTTTAGGCCGGCCCGTATTTTAAAAAAAAAATTTTTAGGCCTCCATCGGAATTTTTTAAATTATATTCTACCTGGTATATACAAAGATTTTACTTATTCGGTATTTTATCATATTTTTCGGCGAGTATTATCATTTAATAAGCAGGCATATTAGCTAATGTTAAAAAAATTTTTGGGCGCGGCCCATATTTAAAAAAAAAATTTTTCTCGGCTCGGAACTTTATACACTATATTCGACCTGGTATATACAAAAAATTTATTTATTCGGTATTTTATCATATTTTTCGGCGAGTATTATCATTTAATAAGCAGGCATATTAGCTAATGTTAAAAAAAATTTTGGGCCCGGCCCGTATTTAAAAAAAAATCTACACGTTTTTAAAACGGTTATAACTCGGTTACAGTTAGGATACGGATACAGTTTGCAGATTATTAATGTACATATTGAATACTACATAATTGCGAAGTTTCAGATTATGATTTTATTTATTTTCAGTTTTGGGAAAGTGCCAACACATTTTTTTGCCCATAAGAACGGTTCATTCCGCTTTCCGGATAGAAGATCAATTAACGGGCTACACAACGGTATAGGTTTCGGTAATTGATCCTCAAGTCGTTCCGCCAGTCAAAATTTACACTTTTTTTATTTTGATGATATCTCTCTTTCCTTTAATTTTTTTGACATTCCGTTTGAAGAATTCGGAGGATCAATTAAGACACTAAATATTTGCTTTAACTAAAAAATGATTGCTCGAATTTTAAATTTTGGCAAAATGCCAAAACCTTTCTATTTTGCTCATAACTC